GCTCAGAGAGGGTAGGCGCTGGTGCGAGGTGGCACAGCCAGCCAACGCAGTGTGGACCCATGTGCTCTGGCTCCAGAACCCACACCCATTACGTTAGTTGTTCCTTCAGTTCCTTGTTGAGTGTCTATTTTGTGCAGGTACTGTCCTTGCAATCAGGGAGAGCCCTAAAGCTTCTGAGCATGTGTCTGGGACTCCAGTGTCAGTCCCGTCCCACCCCTCTGACCCCGGTCCCCAGGGAGGCTGACGGCATCCCTTTGTCAGTATCCCGCACCCACCACGCAGAGGCAAATGCCCCCACTTCAGCTCATGGAACATGGCAGAGGAATCGTCTTCAAAACCTCCTGCCAGGCTCAGATGGGGAGACGGCGAGGGCAGAGCTAACCACCCTCCGCCCCCTCCACTCTGCCGGCTGCCCTCTGAGCCAGGCCTCCAGACAGGAAACCCGGCAGAGGCAGGTCTGGCTCCTGTAGAGGAGCGTGGCTGGGCTTCTCGTCTGTCCTGGTGGAGATTCTGTCTTCCAGGCAGTAGTTGGGCTCTCTCGTTGTCTTTGAATGGCTCTTGCTCAGCCCTCCCCAGGACAGCGTCCCCACTGGCGCAGGAACAAGGACCTACCCGAGTGCCCCATCTGCAAGTCTGTGCAGGGAGCCCAGCTTCCCCAGAGCCGGCTGTCGGGGGGACTATGCCCCTTCTTCCCTCCCGCCCTCCCTCTCTCCTTCCCACGCTCTCTTCCTCCCTCTCTCCCTTCCTCTCTCCCGCTCTCATTCCTCCTTCTTTAACTTGACCATCTTTTCAGGAATTCTGTCTGAATGCCTTGCACACTTCTACACCTCACTGCACAGCGCACCAGCTCGTATTGAGCACGGTTTAAATCTGACTTCACGATTCTTAGCTGCCTTTCCGAACAGAGATGATGGCAGACCCAAGAACCAGATGCGTGAGAGCAGTCCTGTCCAGGACCGTAGCCACTAGGCACGTGTGGCTATTTCATTACGATTAAGTGAAGCATTCCGTTGCTCAGCTGCCCCAGCCACCTTGCAAGCAAGCAGTCAGTAGCCCCGTGAGGCTGGGTAGCTTCCATCTTGCCGAAAGAGCTCTCGAACAGCGCCGTCTGGAGACGGCCTGGGTGGAGAGACGATGGGAGGGCTTGGGGGCGCGAGGGAAGCCAGTGTGCCAACTTTTGGTGGCTGTGAGGCCAGTGGCTCGGGCTCGGCTGCTGAGGCTCGGCGTGACCAGCACTGGGCACCTGCAAGGGCCGTCTTCACCCTGCCTTCTCTCTCCCTCTCTCTCTCCCTCTAAAGATGTTGTGCCCCAAATCTCCTCACCTTTCCTTTGTTCACTGATAGCCGACCACATTAATCAGCTTCGTGTATTCTTTTATATTGAAAACAGGTGAACATAAGCAAATACACCTGTATATTCTTTTTTTTTAAAAGATTTTATTTATTTATTTGAGAGAGAGAAAATGAGAGAGAGCACATGAGAGGGGGGAGGGTCAGAGGGAGAAGCAGACTCCCTGCTGAGCAGGGAGCCCGATGCGGGACTCGATCCCGGGACTCCAGGATCATGACCTGAGCCGAAGGCAGTCGCTTAACCAACTGAGCCACCCAGGCGCCCACACCTGTATGTTCTAATTCGTCCCCCTTCATACTCTATCCTTCCCCTTCCCTACGATCAGAGACCACGCCCTCTCTCCTTTTCACGGCTGCATCCTATTCCACCTCTCCAATGTATTTGGTTGGCCCCTTATCCACGAACGTTTGCGTGCTTCCTATCTTTGTCTGATATATAGGCTGCAGTGAAAGTCCTGCATCTCTGCCGTTTGCACCATGAACACGTTTATCTCTAGGATTAATGAAAATGTCCAGAGGCGGAATCGCTGAATAAAATAGCATGTGCATTTAAATTGCCAACCTACCCTGCTTAGAAGTGGTAACAAGCAGCTTAGACTCCTGCTGATGTACCTGAGACCGCCTGTCTACCCACAGCCCCACCTACAGGGTGTGCTACGAACTTTCTGGCTTATTCTCGATCAGACAGGCTGTTTATCTCAATCTAGTGTAATTTGTATTTCTCTGCTACTGACTGATATGAGCATCTCGTCATGTGTTCAGGGGCCCTTTGTGTTTATGTTTGCTTCATTGAGTCAGCGTCACTTTGTTCCTGATAATGGACCGAAACTCTCTCTTTTTTTTCTTCTTCTTATTTGGAAAAACTTTTAAAAATGCAGGGTAGTACAGAGAACAGTTTGATCAAAGCTCTAGAGCAGTGCTGTCCAACAGAACTTTATGGGAAGATGGGAATGTTCTAGAGCTGTGCCATCCTATACGGCAGCCCCCGGCCAAGTGTGCCTATTGAGCTCTTGAAATGTGGTTAGTGCAATTGAATTGAATTTTAAATTTTGTTTAATTTTAGTGCATTTAAATTTAAAGGTCAATAGTCACGGGTGGTTCGTGGCTATTGTACTGGACCTCGCGGGCCTGGAAGCATTGACTGAGGTAGCTGGCGGGCGCCGTGCTGCAGGAGACTCTCACCATTCCCCGCATTTCAGGACCCTCCTGGATACAAGTTGTTTGTAGCTGCTCAGGCTGCACAGGCTGAGGTCAGGTCGATGCAGTGACTTTGAACAGAATGTTAGGAGGGCTATGGAGTTGGTCGCCAGGGTTCAAATCTAGGCACAGCTTCCCAGCTGTGTAGCCTTGAACGTGTTACTTGCCCTCTCTGAGCAGGCTTCCTGATTTGTGAAATGGGGCGGGGGATATCACTAGCATCTGCTTTTAACTGTTTGAAGATTAAAAGAGATAATTCGGTAAAGTACACTTGAACCCCGGCAGGGGCCAGGCCCACAGGAGGTACGGACTCACTTTCCCAGGTTCGTCCTGACCACAGCTCAGTTAATGAGAGTCAAGAGAAGTCCCAGTGCTCCAGGAACCTGGTATTTTCTTACTTACTCTTCCCTAAGACCCTAAGGCATAGCTACTGTCCTTGGCTCCACTTGGCAGATAGGCACAAAGGGCAATCGACACAGAGAGGTTAAGTAACTTGCCTCAGGTCACACAGCTAGGATGTGGCAGTCTGGGCTTCAGACTCAGGTTTGGTTGACTCCTGAGTCTGCTCCACTAGCCACCGTGCTAAGCAGTCTGTGGTTGAAAGACTGCTTCAGAGTATATTCTCAAAGGCATTGGCTCTCAAAGTGTGGTCCCTGGACCAGCAGAATCAGCGTCATCTCGAAAGGTGTCAGAAATGTCAGTTCTTGGGCCTCACCCTAGAACAACAGAAACTCTGGGGAGGGGCCAGCCGGCTGTGTTTTAAGAAGCCTGCCAGGTTGATTCTTGGGCCCTAGAGTTTGAGAAGTGTAGCTTTTAGGGCCTTCAGAATATTGGCTTTGAGTTCCACTGGGGTTCACAGCTTCTGCTGTCTCTACTGGTCCCCACAAAACTCCCTCCCCAACCCAGCAGCCCCCTCTTGCCCTGGCTGCCCTCCGACCCATGTTCGTACAGCGCCTCCCCTCCAGAGCTGCCCGTGGACGTGAGAGGTGGGTGGTCAGTGAGGGCTGGCCCCGCTTCTGTCCCCCTGCTGCTGGCCCAGCTCCGGGCTGGGTGCTACGAACCTGCTGTCTGCAGCAGGGCTTGCTTTTCAGGCTGTTATCTGCCCAGTAAGTAGCCCCATGGAAAGCAGTGTGAATAGCGAGGCTACCACTCGGTCGTTTGCAAAGGGGTGCATCTTCCTGGCTGACGGCTCAGTGTGACTGACTGTCGGTCTCAAATGGCCGCAATCAGGGGCCCTGATGAGAACCCCTGCCATAGTGTGGAGGTCCCAGGCCCTCAGGGGAACAGAAGGGAGGAGGACATGGAGAAATGTGGGCCCCGGACAGCCTGGGGAGGCTCTGGTGCAGTCACTGGGGGGCCTTGGTTGCTCATCAGCATTGTCTGCAGAGCTCAGAAACCAGGAGCCGGGCCTCGCCCCAGGCCGTGAACTCAGACTCTCTGGGGCCGGCGCCTGGGTGCTGATTGTTTTGGAAACTGCCTCAGATGATTCTTTTCCTGTCCCAGCTTTGCTGAGACAAGTGACATATAACACTGTGTCAGTTAAGGTGTGTCGTGCGGTGATCGGATGCACGTATATACTGTAAAGTGACGACCACTACAAGATTAGTTAACGCATCCATCACCCCAGTTACTAGTTTTTGTTGGAGTGGTGAGAACATTTAAGATCTACTCTCACAGCAACTCACAAGTTCACACTCCAGTATTGTTAAACACCGTCACCATGAGCTAGATCCCCAGAACCTACTCATCTTCTGGCTGGAAGCTTGGAGCCTTCAACCACCATCTCCTTCGTGCCCCCACCTCCCAGGTCCCGGCACCCCCCAGTCTACACCCTCAGTTTCTATGAGCTCGGCTTTTCTGGATCCCACATCTAAGTATCAGACAGTATTTGTATGTCTCTGTCCGACTTATTTTACGTAGCATAATGCCCTCAAGGTCCATCCATGTCCTAGCAAACGGCAGGATTCCCTCCTTTTTTTATAGATACCTATATCTACCACATTTTCTTTATCTGTGGATCCACTGGTGGATACTTAGGTTGTTCTCATGTCCGTGGCTGCTGGGATGAACATGGGGGGTGCAGTATCTTTGCGAGAGAGTGACTCCACAATTCTAATGTGTAGCTACGGCTGGAAGCCAGCCATTGCTGTAAATGAGCACGTCTCACCCTTGAAAGAGGCTGGAATATCCTGGAGATCCTGTTTCAAATCCAGGTCCTGACTCAGTGAGTGTGAAGTCGGGCCCCAGAATCTGCATTCAAAGAAAAGTCACCCTTCAGTTTGCCAACGACCAATGCGTCTGCATCATCAGCTTTCCTGTTTGATTCAGTGAGTGCGGCGATATTTGGTAGCTTATTAAAGGGAAGTTCATTTTTGCTTAGGAGATTTCATCAGCAGAAAGCCAATCACCAGCACTTCATTAGAGAATTTTAACATTTATGCTAATTTCCATGTAAGGTATTTTCAATTCATCTGCATGACTTGGTATTTGGCAAGATGATTCTCGGTGAATGGGCTGCTTATGGTGTCCACAAAGAAGTCTTTTGGCCAGCTCTGGGCAGAGAAACCACACAGGTAGGTCTTTGGGTGAGCCCCTGACTGTCCCAGAGCAACTCCCACCCCCAAAGTTATCAGGCTCTGCCTTCACTTCTTTTACATTTGGGGAATCTGCTGCTAAATGTGTTTGAAAACTAGATCTTTTTATTCAAATGCTGTAGTTGACAGCTGAGAAACAGGCTCAGAGAAGTTAAGCGACTTGCCTAAGGTAGCACAGCCAGGCCATTAGACCAGAGAGATGCTGCAGACCCTATATTGCCAACTCCCCAGCAGAGTCCAGCCCATGGCTAAGCAGTTCCTGGCGACGGGGTCACTGGGCCACAGACAGACTGCATAGACTGCGGGTGGGAGCTGGGAGGAGTTTGGACCCAGCACCCTCGCTCTCCCACTCCCCTCGCAGCATGACCGTCTCCCTCTGAGGGTCCCCTTGCCCTGTCTCCTCCATGGCAGTACCAAGGAAGGGTCAAAGGCCGTTTCTTAGGACCCCCTGAGGCATTTAGAGGCCAGAGAACAGAGAGGCCTGTGTCTGCCCTTCCTTTGCTGCCTTGTTCCCTAAAGGAGAAGACCCTCCTGCAGCTCTGAACCACCCAAACGGGTGTTGGGGAGCAGGCCACACCTTTAGGAATTCATGGGCTCCGGGCCGCTGCCTCTGGCTGGTCAGTAACTTTCATGTCCATTGCAGAGATGAGGCGACTGAGCCCCAGAGGTCAGTCTGGATTGGAGGGAGGCAGGTCTGAACCTTGTTTGGGGTGGAGGGTTGGGGCTGGACTAGTGTTTCCAGCTATCCTTCACATCTTGCCTTGCCTCCCCCTCCCCTGGTCTCCGGTGGACAGCAGAGTGAGGGACAGGCTGGACAGAGCAGGTGTCAAAGGCTAAAACTGGAATGGAAATGACTGGGAATCTTCTGTTGGGGTTTTGGGGATGGAGCCACTGCTGGGGCATGGGGCTGGACCTGTACCCCAATGGCCGAGCTCTGACCCACAGGGTTGGAAGTTTCCTGAAGATTGGGACCCGGCCTCCCGCTGGGGAGGGGGCAGGGCCAGGCATGGTGTCAGCGCAGCTAAAGGAGGCTGGAACTTCTCTGGCGTGTGGTCCATCTGGGCACAAGGCCTCAAACGGGTGTGTAAAGAGCCGCACCAGGCAAGGCTGCCGCATGCCCTGTGCCCTCTGAGAGCTGACGAGGATGGGGACTCCTCCCTCCCGAGACTGCTGATCCGATGAAAGCATCTGATGTGGGTGACATCGGAGCGGCATCCAATGGAGGGGCTGCTCATTCCCACCCCAGTGAGATGCCCACGCGCCTAACTTGGGGCCTTCCGCACCTTACCCACCCGTCCAGGCCCCTAACTTGGGGCCGTCCGCACCTTACCCACCCGTCCAGGCCCCTAACTTGGGGCCTTCCGCACCTTACCCACCCGTCCAGGCCCCTAACTTGGGGCCGTCCGCACCTTACCCACCCGTCCAGGCCCCTAACTTGGGGCCGTCCGCACCTTACCCACCCGTCCAGGCCCCTAACTTGGGGCCTTCCGCACCTTACCCACCCGTCCAGGCCCCTAACTTGGGGCCGTCCGCACCTTACCCACCCGTCCAGGCCCCTAACTTGGGGCCGTCCGCACCTTACCCACCCGTCCAGGCCCCTAACTTGGGGCCGTCCGCACCTTACCCACCCGTCCAGGCCCCTAACTTGGGGCCGTCCGCACCTTACCCACCCGTCCAGGTCCCTAACTTGGGGCCTTCCGCACCTTACCCACCCATCCAGGCTCTTACTGCCTCATGCTTGAGAGCAGGTGTAGCGTGCAAAGCCCAGCACTGCCTAACCAGGCCATGTCCTCAAGCTGTATCTCCTCTCCTGATCTGTAGGGGGACAGCGTTAGGATCTGTCACACACACACAGATGGAGCATTACGTGAGATGGTCTGGGTAAAAGGCTCAGGACGCTGCCTGGCACGTGTAGCTGTTCAGTGAGTGGTTCTTTGTCATGGTGCCGTCTTTGGGAATGGGGACGGAGGGGGCACCTAGAGGCAGCTTTGGTGGGGGAGGGATCGGGGGCCCGCAGCAAGGTTTCCTAGGCTGGCATGCCCTGCTGTGTTGGGGCCCCCACTCTGGAGGCTTCAGGGTCTTCGTCCCCAGCCCAAGCCAGGGGCAGGCACCCAGGCTTTAAAAGCACGTGGCTGGTGTTGGGGGGGCGGGGTTCAGTCGTCCTGCCTCAGCATCCTGCCGATTTCTGTCCACAGCCCTGGTGACGGGAGCTGGGCCTCTCATGCCCTCGCATCGGAAGTGGGATTTTTCTATTTCTGAGAGGCCTGTGCTGGAAAAAGGCAGCTGTGGTGGCCGGCGGTGGGCGGGGTGGGGGTGGGGGGCTGGCACTTCAAGCAGCCGGCCTGGGTGATGGTGGGGGGCACACTGTCCCAACCCTAATTTGAAAAATTGAGCTGAAAAACAGTCAGACCTCCTGTGTGACTCAGCGCCATTATCCCTAATCATGCGGAGAACGCACCAAACCTCTGCCTGGCAAGTTCCTGCCGCAGAGCCTCCAGAATGATCCGGTGTTGAGGGAGGGGAGACGAGGGCTCACAGCAGCACCACTTGCTCCTGAGCCACCGGAGGAGGAAGCTCCTGCCCGCAGGAAGGAGGCCCTGGAGAGGGGTTCTGGTCCCGGGGCTGCGGGGGAGGGGATGGGCCCGTGTGGCAGGTGCCGGCCGGGATGCGGGCTCTGCCGGGGGTTTCCTCCTGGGTCCTCCGGGCTGGAGCCATTCCTGCTCTCACCTCAGCAGGCTCAGGATACGGCTCTCGGGGAGTCCCTGCCCCGAGAGAGGAGGCATTGATTTGACACACAAGAAGCCTCCATTTCAGAAATATTTAGTATACGCCGAATAGAAGCATTAAAAATGAGGGGGCAGCCCTTACAGGGAAGGACCCTAAAAGATGTCTACTATACCCTATTACACTAAAAAAGCAGCTTATAAAATGGTGTGTAGACTATTGTCTTAGGCTGCTCAGGCTGCCATAACAGAATACCGTGGGCTGGGTGGCTTAAACATTTGTTTCCCCACAGCTCTGGAGGCCCGAAGTCCAAGATCAAGGTGCCAGCCAGGGTGGTTCCTCTGAAGCCTCTCTTCCTGGCTTGTGAAGGGCTGTCTTCTGCTTTGTCTTCTCACGGCCTTTGCTTCTTCTTATAAGGACGCCAATCCTATCAGAGCAGCACCATCCATGGCCTCATTTAACCTTAGTTACTTCTTTAGAGACGCGGTCTCCAAACACAGCCAAACCGAGGGCTAAGGCTTCAACATAAGGTGACTTCTGGGGGGCGGGGACAAACGTCCAGTGCATAACAAGGAGCAAACTCTGGAGCAGGACCCTGGACTCCAAGCAGCTCCTCGGCTTACATGTTGCGTCACTTGGGTGGAGTGACGCGACTTCCTTGAGATCCTCAGTTTCCCCTCCTGTACTCTGGGGGAGATTGTACCTCTGCCTCCCACCTTCCAGAACGGTCATGAAGATGACGATGACCGTGAAGCTAGGAGAGAGCCTTGTAAATAGTCAGGCACCCCAAAATGAGAGGTCATCTTACGAGAAAGGAGAGCTGGGAACCCTGGGGGACCCCCACCTGTCAGGCTCACCTCTGGTTGGGAAGGGTGTTGGCGGAGTCCGTCCCCCCCACCCCTTCAGGAGCAGCACAAACACGAGTGCCTGAAGGCTGGGCTGGTGCTCCCGGTGGGGGTGGGGTGAGCTGGGGAAGGGAGGTTGCGTGGGTGAAAGGGCAGTTGGGGTCTGTAGGCCCCCACCCTGGTCCAGCCAGGGAAATGAGCTGTTTCCTGGACTTTTTGAATTACCAGGATGAGATGGAAATTTGACTTGTCTGCTGGAAGGTAGCTGATTAGAGCCTTTAAAACACTAGCAAACCAAATCCGAACAGCCCCAGTTGGCCTGCCGCCCAGCAGTTCCAGACCCCAGCTGTCAGAGCTGCAGCTGAAGTGGGCGGGGGAGGGGCAGTCAGGCTTGGAAAGGACAGAGGAGCGGAAAAGAGGGGGCTGAGGGCGCTCCCCGCGTCCAGAGAGCAGAGGCCTGAGGTGTGGTGTTGAAAGTCCTCCGATGCATGGGACAGCCCCCAAACCAAGAACTAACTGGCCCCAAATGTCAGTAGTGCTGAGGCTGAGAACCCCTGATGTATGTTGGGTTGAGGGAATCTTTCCTGTTCGGGGCTGTTCTGTGCATGTAGGATACACACACACGTGTGCATGCACACACGCACACACGTGAGCACCCTTAACTCAGAGCCAGGCAGCAGGGGATGACCCCTCAGTGCCCTCCTGAGGTCACCTCTCTGTCTGGAATACAATCAGGCCAGCAGCAAGCTGCCTGCTCCTTGTTCAGAAAGCAGCTCTAGGAGGTCAGATGTTTCTACACGTTTAGTCCCCGCCCTGTCTGTCCCTAGCCTCTCGAGGAGAAAAGTACGGCCCAAATATCGGTCACTATCATGGTGACAAGCTTCCTGGGAGATTGAATCTAAAAGGTCTTATCCCGAGTATGATCAACCGGGTTCCTCAAGAGAGAAACGAACTCCTTTCATTCATTCGGAAAGCTTCCCATTTGGAACCCAGTTCCCTCCCCGCCCCCCCATCTCCCCACTGTGATGGCATTGCCCCCTCATGCAGAGAGGGGAGGCTGCAACAGCAGGTGCACAGGCCCGGCTGGGCTGTCTCGGGCTTCGAGTCCTTAACAGTTTCCGAGGCTACTTCTCCATGAACCAGCAATCTCAGAGTGTGTCTGCCAATTATTATTTGATTAGTCTCACCAAGGGCATCTTAATTTGTCCTTCCCAGGCACGTACTCTAGACAGACGGTTTGAGGAATTATGTCTCTGAGTCTGCTATAAGAAGACAATTATTCTGGCCGTGTCCCACACCATGGCAATAAGTCCTGAGCTTGGTCACGGCCTTAATTTCCAACTGGGGTGAGAATGCACGGAAATTTTGAGAAGCCATAGCTTTCAGACGACCAGTGTCCAGAGGGAAAACTCAGGCAGGGCCTTGCATCTGGGGCGACGTCTGTTCCCTTGGCCAGTGTGTGTTCTTTGGAGACCTGGGAGTAGTGTGTGGGAAGCACATAGACCTTGGAACACAAAGAATAGAGCTGGAATCCCAGTTCTGCCCTAAGTGTGTGGCTTTGGGAAAATGATTTAACTCCTCTGAGCCTCAGTTTTCTCATCTGTAAAATGGGTGCACGTCCTAGGGACACTGGTTGTTTATCTGCTGTTCAATGTCTCCTTTCCGTCCTTTGGTAACAGCTCCTTGATTTTCTTTTGGGCAGTTACCGTCTCCACCATGTGCAGTATCAGAGGGACATAGATCCAGGTGTCCTGCCCTCCCCTGGCCGGAGTGATTGTGTGACCAAGCTAGGGACACCCTCAGAATGACCTCTGGCAGCTGAGCCCTGACAAGACTCCAGAATGAGTCCTGCTTCTCCTAAGACCCCTGGATGTGCCCAGGTTCCAGGTACTCTTCTGATCCTCTTTCTCTAGCCTTCTTGTCACTTCCATGAGCTAACCAATCTCCTTCCAGTAGATTCCTTTTTGCTTAAATTCTCTGGGGTTAGTTTCTCTTGCTTGTAACTAAAGAGCCCCAAGTCACCACAGGTTTGTTGGGAGATGGGAGAGTGGGTCTCCCAGTATAATTACGTTCCTGCCTCAGAGCTTGGTAAACGTGGACGCTCAGTCAACAGGGCTCTCTCCCAGTCTCTGCTCAGAGGAACAGAATTTATTGACATGGAGTTTATAAACTGAGACAAGCACCCAACGTGAGGTGGTGAGCTGGGGCTCCATCTGCTCCGAGGACTCTCCACTTCCCTGCCTGGTGTGCCTGTTCTCCTCAGATCCTTTTCTCACTCTCTTCTGACTCCTCAAGGTGAGGGGAAAGAAAGCTCAGGGAGGGGACCATGGATACTGAGGTGTCTGTCCCTCCCTCTGGCTCTGCCCCCAGGATGTTGAGCCTGGCCCCGTGCCCCGGCACCATGATGGGGGGAGACTCAAGGCCAGGAGCAGAAGCTGTGATGATTTAAAATTGCATCTCCACATGCAGAGCTGAGCTGCCTGAAGCCCCATCCGCTTGCCTAAACCTCAGGAGAGGCAGGATATGCAGGGCCCCTCTGGATTGCAATCATTGGATCCAAGTGTGTCAGCGAGCAACAGATGTTCATGGAGTTCCATTAAACGTGCAGAACCCCTTCTGAATCACTCACCTCCGTTTCTTAAAAACACTAATCTATTTTGTGAGACATTAAATTCCACAGAAAAGTAAGCACAAAAAGAATATAACCAACACCCATATTGTCACCACTTAATAGTTGTTAACATATTATCCTATTTTCTTACCTGCTTTTTAAAAAAAATATTTATTTTTAGAGAGAGAGGGATGGAGGGAGAGAGAGAACAGGGGTGGGGAGGAGCAGAGGGATAGGGAGAGAAGAAGACTCCCCACTCAGCGCAGTGCCCGATGTGGGGCTCAACCTCATGACCCTGAGATCATGACCTGAGCTGAGATCAAGAGTCAGACGCTTAACCAACTGCGCCACCCAGGCGCCCCTTTACCTGCGTTTTTAAAAATAGTAAACATTAGCAGTGGAGCTAAAGTTTTTTCAACTATCTTCCTCATTCCATTTCTCTCCTCCATGCCCTTGAGGCGACCTCAGCGGGGCTGCTGTAGACCCTTCCGCACACAGATAACACACATACTTCATTTTAACTTCGGTAGTTACCGTCTGAATAGACCGTTTTCGGCTGCTCCTCTCCCTGGACATTCAGGTGTAATTTCCCCCAATTCTGTGAGCCTGTGCGTGCACCTGTCTCCCTGACACCACGGTGTTCTTCCCTCCTTTACCCCCCCCCCCACCCCCCGCCCCGACCCGGCTGCTCCCGCCTCCAATCTCGCTGGGGCCTCCGCTGGTCAAACCCAGGGGCTGCTGACCAGCTTCATCTTCTCTAAGGATTACTGGCCACCCCCACCTTGCTGCTTTCTCCCCGCTTTGTTCTTTCTGCTTCCCTTCCAGGCTTCTCATCTCCCCACCTCCCTACCCAGGCTCTGCCATTCTTCGTTTATGCCAGGACTCTCAGCTCACAGAGAGAAGCAGACGTGGCTGAGACTTGTCTCACCTGGCCAGCACGATGTTCTTGAAACATTTAGAATGTGAACCCTCAGCCCCCCATTTCTTACACCTGCCATACTGAGGTTACCTTCCTGGCGCCTGTGGTGGAGATGGAGTTTGGCTCACTTGGCGTCTGTTTCAATCTCCTGGGATACTTCCTCCACAGCAGAGGCTGGGAGGCTAAGATCAGGGTTTTCCAAGCTCCCTGCAGGTGTGGCTCCAGAAGGGATTCAGATTCACTTAACCAGGTGCATCTGCTTGGTATTTGAATTCAGACCTCAGTTAAGGGGGAGAGTCGCACCAGTTCTGCTGCAGTGTTTCCATTAGGCACAGGGCAGCTCGGGAGCGGGCGATTCTAGGGGCAGCTTCCTGACCTCCAACCACCGGTGGTGCAGACCCGGAGCCAGCAGTCATTTCCTGGGGCCACAGTTTCCTGGTTACGGCAGGAGTAGCAATTCCTTTTCCCTGGTGAAATAGTTCTGTGAAGTTTTTTTGGAATCTCTTCTTAGCCTGGAGGTTATTTATTCATCCGTCCCTTCCAAATGACTCTGTAAGCACTTGATTCCTGGAATTAAAGCCACTTTTGCTTAAACTAGCTAGAGTGGTTATTGTTTTTTTTTTTTTTTTAAGATTTTATTTATTTGACAGACACAGCGAGAGAGGGAACACAAGCAGGGGGAGTGGGAGAGGGAGAAGCAGGCTTCCCGCGGAGCAGGGAGCCCGATGCAGGGCTCGATCCCAGGACCCTGGGACCATGACCTGAGCTGAAGGCAGACGCTTAACGACTGAGCCACCCAGGTGCTAGAGTGGTTATCGTATGCAACTGAGCCCCAACTGATAGGGATCCTGAAGGAACAAGGTTTTTGACCCCTGATTTATTCCTTTACTTTCTGAGAGCACATTCTGACTTTAGTTTTACTCATTTATTTATTGAACCATCCAAAAATACGAATTAAGCATCTCCTAAGTGCCTATGACTGTGCTGAACATGGGGGATACAATACCAAAATAAGATGGTACCAACCAACACCCCTCTTCCAGGCTTGGGGAATGCCGTTCTCCTGTCTTCTAAACTAGGAACCACACATAGGCCTTTCACGCTTTTTTTTTTTTTTTTATAACACTCGCCGCCAGCATCCCAACATCATGGCCCCTCGGTAAGTTCTGGCTTCATAGCTTCAATAAATTGTTGATTTGATGACATAGGACCCTGAGGCCCTGCCCTATCCCAGTGTATCCCTGTGCAGATGAAATGACAGACAAGCCATGAGGAAGGAGCCCGCTACCCGAGAAGGTCGCCGGTGTTTCTGAGGTTTCCAAAGGGCAACATTAGCATCTGTCCCTCAACCCCAGCGAACTGGGTCTGGGAGAGCTGATAAATTGCTGCTTTTTCCCAAGACAAAAGCATTATCAGCCCAGCTGACAGAAATAGCTGCTTCTCTTGCAGCCAAGTTGGAATCACATCTGGGAAGGTTTAAACCAATCAAAACATTTCTTTTTGTATAAATGGATGTTCTAAGTGTTGAGATATGTCATGTTCCAAGAAAGGAAGTGAAAAGAACCCCACAGAATATCTCTGACTTTAAATGAGTCAGGGCTGCTGCAGGGACATGCATACTTTCTTAACTTTTTCTTTTTTAGTGAGAGGGAGCTTGTGAATTATTTAATCTCAACTTCAAGATAAATATTGCAAAGGATAAAGAGGGACCTTTCATAATAATGAAAAAGGCCAATTCATTAGAAGATGTAACAAGCCTAAAAGTAAACGCACCCAGTAACAGAGCTTCAAAACACAAGAAGCAAAAGTGACAGAACTCCCTTTAGGGAGAAATAGACAAATCTATCATAGCAGGAAATTTTATTACCCCCCCCCCCCGTAACTGATGGAGCAAGTAGACGAAGCATACAGAAGATCTGAACAAAACTATCAACATATTTAAACTGGTTGACATTTATAGAACCTCTGCCCAACAATAGGAAAACACATACTCTTTTCCCCTGCAAATGGAAGATTCTCCAAGATAGATCATATGCTGGACCACAAAACAAGTCTCAATAAATTTCAAAAAGTTAAAATTATATAAATAATGCTTTTTTTAAAAGATTTTATTTATTTATTTGACACACAGAGAGAGACAGCTTGAAAGGGAACACAAGCAGGGCGAGTGAGAGAGGGAGAAGCAGGCTCCGGCTGAGCAGGGAGCCTGACGCGGGGCTCGATCCCAGGACCCTGGGACCATGACCTGAGCCGAAGGCAGATGCCTAATGACTGAGCCACCCAGGTGCCCCATAAATAATGTTCTGTAACCAAAATGGAATTATATTTGAAATACAAAAATAGAAACTCTCCAAATATTTTGTTAATTAAGCAACACACTTTTAAACAATCCATTGGTCAAAGAAGAAATCATAAGGAGAATAAGAAAGTAGCACAGGGCGCCTGGGTGCCTCAGTGGTTAAGCATCTGCCTTCAGCTCAGGTCATGGTCCCAGGGTCCTGGGATCGAGCCCCACATCGGGCTCCCTGCTCATTGGGAAGCCTGCTTCTCCTCCCACTCCCCCTGCTTGTGTTCCTGCTCTCACTCTCTCTCTCTGTGAAATAAATAAAATCTTAAAAAAAAAAAGAAAGAAAGTAGCACAAATTGAATGAATAATCGGGTTCCTTTTCACTCTCAAAAGTAAAGTGACCAAATGTTCTGGTCTGCCCAGGGCTATCCCAGTTTTATTACTGAAAGTTTCATGTCCCAAGAAACTCCCCAGTTCTGGATAAACCAAAACAGTTGGTCACCCAATGAAATATTTGCACTCACTATAAATTAGGTGACCACTTTAGGCATAGGGCTTCTCTCTCTTTCTTTTCCCCAGCTTTATTGAGTATAATTGACAAATAATTGAATATATTTAAGGGATATGAATTGATGCTTTGATAAATGTATCCATTGTGAAATAATCACCTCAGTCAAGCTAATTTACATACCCATCACCTCACATAGTTACCTTTTCTTTGTTTGTAGTGAAAACACTTGAGATTAATTTCATTTTCTCTATCCATCTGTTGATGGACAGATTTAGGTTGTTTCCATATCTTGGCTATTGTAAATAATGCTACAATGAACATGGGAGTGCAGATACCTCTTTGAGATCCAGTTCCTTTGGATATATATCCAGAAGTGGGATACTGGATCATAAAGTAGTTCTATTTTTAATTTTGGGGGGAACTGTATATTGTTTTTCATAATGGCTATACAAATTAAATTCTCATTGACAGTGTACAACGTTCCCTTTTCTCCACATGCTTGACAACACTTGTTATCTTGTCTTTTTGCTAATTCCCATTCTAATATGTATGAGGTAATATCTCATTGTGGTTTTGATTTGCATTCCCCTGATGATGAATGATGTAGAGCATCTTTTCATGTACCTATTGGCCATTTGTATGTCTTCTTTTGAGATATGTCTATTCAGGCCATTTGCCCATTTTTAATTGGGTTTTTTTTATATGGAATTATATGAGTATTTTGGATATTAACCCATTATCAGATATATGCTTTGCAAATATCTTCTCCCATTCCATAGATTGCCTTTTTGCTTTTTTGTTTGCTATGTAGTAGCTTTTTACGTTGTTGCTACAATCTTGTTTATCTATTTTTGCTTTTGTTGCCTGTTCTTTTGGTGTCGTATCCAAAAAATGCATGCCCACACCAATATCAAGAAGCTATCCCCTTGTTTTCTTCTAGTAGTTTTATAATTTCAAATCTTATGTTTAAGTCTTTAGGGGTGCCTGGGTGGCTCAGTTTTAAGCATCTGCCTTGGGCTCAGGTCAGTGGGGAGTCTCCTTGTGTCTCTACCCCTCCCCCTGCTTGTGCTCTCTCTCTTTCAAATAAATAAATAAATAAATAAAATCTTTAAAAAAAAGTCTTAAATCGATTTTGAATTGATTTTTGTATATGGTGTGAGATAAGGATCCGTTTTCATTCTTTTGCATATGGATAGCCAGTTTTCCCAACACCATTTATTGAAGTGACTGCCTTTTCCCCATTGTATGCTTTTGGCAACTTTGTTGAAGATCAACTGGCTGTTGATGCTTGGATTTATTTCTGGGCTCTCTATTCTAGTTATTCTATTCTATTCTATTCTATTCTATGGATCTATATGTTTATTTCTTGTAAGCAGCGTGCTGTTTTGATAGGGCTTCTCCATTTTTTACAGAGGCTTCAGTGGGATAATGGAAAGACCTGGTTTCCAATTCAAGCTCTGCGGTTTGTTAGCTGGGGACCTTGGGCAAGTTATTTCACCTTTCTGGGCTTCAGTTTTGTCATCTTCCAAACAGGGGCTGAGATCATCTGCCTTGCAAGGTGTGTCTGAGAAGTAAAGGAAATGACGTGGCTCCAGTACCTGGCACACAGGTGCTTAGTAAACAGTGTCTGTGATTATTATTGTATCAGCTTATTACAAACAGATGTTTTGCTTGTCCCACTACAAGTTCGGGAGGGTCATTAGTCCAAATGCCCATCAACATTTTCATTCTCATTGTCATAAAAATAGCTGATATTCATGGAGCGTTTGCCACGAGCCTCTACTGTGCTAACTGCCTCTTACGCATCTTATGAAGAAAGTAGTCACAGAGAAGAGTTGTAATTTTCCATAATCACACAGCAAGTCACAAGGAGATATGGCATCAGCTTTCAGACCTTGTTAGCTCAGGGAATCTTTCCACAATATCTTGGGGTCCCCTAGCTTGTGGGGGGCACCAGAAAGCTGAGGGCTGAGGGGTTGGGGAAGGTCCCAGCAGCCCTTGCACAGGCCCCATCCTTTTCTGAACGTCCGCTGCATGCTCAGAAATGAGTATGGGAATGGACTGGCAGAAGAATCATCCCCACCACTCCCTGCGAAAGCCTGGGGAGATCCAGAGGGAGGAGGGGCTGCATTGGTCACAGAATTGCTGTCCCCAACTCTTTTCTGCTCCCTGATTCAGTGCAGCTGATCTGCAAGGCAGCACTGAGATCTGGCCCTCAGGGCCCTCTGACCCGTGGCCCTATTCACGGCACTGCCCTTCTCCCTGTGGGGTGGGGGTGGGGGGCAGAAGGCGCAGACCCCACCAACCTCCAACTGGCTGTCTTGTGACCTTCCTCTTCCTTTCCATCTGAGGCTTTTCATGGAGTTTTCATGTTGGCCGTGTCAAGGCAGTTATGTCTCCAGAGAGTCCTTAGTGTGGCGAGAAAAAAGGACCTGTGTGAAGCCGCTCTGACCTGCAGGGGACGTGGCTCCCCGGGCGCTGGGCCTCAGCTTTTCTGTTTGCATTTTCTCACTGAAAGAGTAGCACTGCTAGATACAGAGCTTGTTCTGTGGTCAAAATGTGCTGACCACCCTGATGCTTTGCTGGATGGCAAAACTTCTTCGATTCCTTTTTTCCCCCCAGAATTGGCTGATCCCCATGGCTCAGATGCTCCAGTTCCTCGCAGGCATCAGAAGCCCCCGTGATAGCATGCTTGGCAGATGGTCCGTGCCCATGGCTTTACCTCCCATCTGCACAGGAAAGCACCCATCAAAGCTACTCATACGTCCACATGGCATCTCCACCTGGTTGGTTGGACAACAACATCTCAAACACAGCATGCCCCAAAGTGAAACAATCATCTTCCCCCAAGCATGCTTCTCTTCCCAGCCCACAAGCCAGAGCCCCTGGAATCTGCCACCCATCCTTCCCTCCCCTCAGCCAGAATCTATTTTCTCAACATGATCGATATGACTATTGATCAGACTTGCAGAATTGCTTGGAAGGGGAAAAAAAGCCTGCACATCTGGTCACAGGAATGTGAACATGATAGAAGCCCAGTATGAGAGTAACGGAGAAAGAGACTATTTTTTGTTTGTTTGTTTGTTCAAAAACATTCAAATATGGAGCTTCAGTGGAGAAAATTAGAGGAGGATTTTGAACAAAACTGTAGGAGCTGATATTTTGTTATTCTTTCTTTCAGTTGTATCTTTTAAGTGCATGAAAATGTTTTTTTTTTAATTACATTGGACGCTCTGTACCTTAGGGCTCCTGGGTGGTTCTCTGGGGAGAGGTTTGGGTTTCTCTTTTCAGATGGTTGGTCTGCAAGGGATGATGCTCTAGGACAGGCGATGCCTACACCTACCCACCTTGAAGTCAGTTCCAGAAAGCCAAGAGTCAAAACGAGCCAAGGAAATGGAAATTTGTAGACCTCGAGGGAAAGAGTTATTTAAACACAAGTTCTGTTGACCTAGGAGATTCGTGGGCGGTACTTATGGGAAAGGTGGAAAGACATGCGTAAAAGGAGGTAGGTTGTCGAGTACCGTGCCCTCGCTGTGAGCTCACTGGGTGGACGGCGCTGGTGGCTGACCCCAAGGCCGACAGTGCTGCCTGATGCCATCAGGGCGCAAGGATCCCCACCAAGAGTCTGGAACTGTTATGGGAGAGCTGGGCCAGAAGTGGATGGGGGGCTGGGTACTGCCCAGCTCTGAGCATGGCCGAAAGGAAAGTATGGCTGTGTCCCACGTCCTGGCCAGGGAAACGGATGCCCGTCTTGCTTCTTGACCAGAAGCTAAAGCAGTGGGCCCTGGAGACAGATCGCTGATCCCTTCCGGAGGAGAGGGCACAATGGGCCTGTCTGCACCTTGCGGAGGCCTGTTTGCCCCAGGCTTTATTGCCCCCCACCCCGCCCCTGTCCCCGCCCCCTGCACTCCCACCTGGGGGATACTGGGGATACCCCAGTGGAAGGACAGAGAAGAGCTCTGTTTGGAGGAGCCCACAAGACAGACTGCTACCGCAGCGGGTTGCATCTTTTCCTGCCCCGAGGAACAGTGCTTTTAAAAGGACATCACTGTTGACATCTCAGAAGGCCCTGCAATGCAGTGGCAAAAAATGAAGGTGCCTTTTCTCATCGTGGAAGAAACTTACCTTGACTATGGGCAGCACGGCACTTAAAAAAACCATTCCAACAACTGGCAGGGGTTATGAGGTGCACAGGACAAAGGGACAAAGAAGCAAAGCCCTTCATCTGCAGTGGTAAAAAATCCCAGCTCCTTGGTATAGCAGTTGGGCTGGGTAAGAGGGTGATCCTCTGCCCAAGAACGGGTTTAGGAATTGATTATATAGCCTCATAAGGGAAATCATGTCAACGGGGATAGCATTATTATTTTATTGGCAGTATGTTTTAGTGTAGAACAAGAGGAGGGGGAAAATGAAGCAAAAAGGGCAGATGGAAGAAATTATGATATCTGAGCTCCTTTTTTTGTAGAGAGATAAGAAGTTGGGTAGAACGTATGGGTCAGAGGGGATCTCTGGTTTAGAACGGGGAACCAAATTCTGCCAGTAGATATAAGAGCTAAATTGGCAAGTGCGGGAGAAACGCACGGGTCGGGCAGACCTAGAGGGGAGATGCGCCAGGCCGGCATTTGAGGAACCCAGGACGGGCAGGTGTGCCCGCGCGAGGTGCTCTGGGTAGCGTGTGAAACAGTCAGAAGGCTGCTGCCTGGCCCGCTTCCTTCCCTTTGAGGCCCCTCTCCCCAACCCCAGCCCCACACAGAAGTTTGGCACACCCAGTGGTGGGAAGGGCTGAAGGGTGGTTCCGACACTCTCCCTGCATCAGTGGGCTCCCCTCACGGCTCCCCTGGAACTCCCAATGGGCACTCCATCTCCTGCCTTTCCCCATTCAGTCCCCTTCATCCTCCCTACCCCCAGTGAGCTTCATTCCCCTATTGAAGGCCCCCATCAGGGGGTCCCGGTTCCTAGAGAGTAAAGCTCCAGCTACTTAGCCTGGCCTAGAGGGCTCTTCCAGATGTGGCCTGTCTCCCCAGCTGGACTTTTCTGTGCACCTAATTCTCCTTGTCCAGACTGCCCAGCCACGTGCACCACTGGCATCTCGGGGCTGGGCCACTCTGACCTCCGAGGTCTTTGGGTTTGTTTTTTTTTTCCTCTTTCAATCTCTCTCATCTTCTAAGATTCATTCTAGGCGTGGCCTGACCCATCCAGTGAGACTGGAACTAGCCACCTTCTCCTCCCGGGCTTCAGGAAGAGTGGGATCCGGGTGCTTGGACACTGTTAATATGCTCTCTTGTTCCATGTCCTTTGCCACTCTGTGCCGGTCAGCTCTATTCTTTCCCTGCAGGTGGGGGCTTATTTTACCTGGTGGGTGAAACAAGGATCTATCTTAGGGAGGGCTTGTTCCCTTCCCACTTTCAATTTGAGAAGTCTTAGGGAAGACTTCTGATGGCCTTGCTTGGGTCAGGGTCAGCTGACTATCTCTGACTCAATCACCCATGGTCAAGAAGGGTCATTAACATTAATAATGTTATCTAAATATGTATCGCTTTCTTATTAGCCAATGTACCAATTTATTTTAATGATTTTGATAGCAACTAACACAATGAGGTCATACTGGACTTGGGGCCAGCTAAAAAGCACACCTTTCTACCTCTTCCAGATAACCTGCCACAGGGTTAATTCACAAAAGATCAATTTGCTAAATACCCATGGTCAGTTCACCACATTGACTAAAAAAAAAAAAATAAATCAAATAAAACTAGGTCGTTTTAACTTACTGATTTTCCCTTTGGCTTCATAGAAGTGTTTTAAAGAAGTTCAGTTTGTCTTTGCCCTCACTCCCTGTTGCTGACGTCAGGCTGGAGAACAGAGACTAATGATGAGGACCACAGAGGTGGGAGTCCCAGAGGAAACGACGGGAAGCGGAGGCGACATGAATATATTTATAAGAACATGTTCATAAGACTATAGCCTTAAGATGATATAGTCATTGAATATAGTTAACTCATTTAAAAATATATTCAAGAAAAATATGTGCACAAATAATATTTTTGCATTTAAACGAGTCTGCTTGCTATATTCTTATGAGTAAAAATCCATTAATGAAGAATATATTTGTAGGACACTTCCTATTGAAGACAATCTCACATATAAATTTTCTGGAGCCCTCAGTGTCTCCTGCTGTACACCTAGGTCTTGTTAACTGCTCTTCTTTTGTTTCTTTAACCTAAACAGTTCCAGAGCCTTCCTCTTTCCTCCTGGATGTGGCTTGTAGGTTTCTTATCAGTTTGCACTTCTTCTTGTCATATACACACCAGTTTGCCCACGTCTTTCTTCCAGACTGGCTTCAGGGCAGGCTGAGCCTTAAGTAAATAAGTGAAATATGGGGACAGGCATTTCCTTATACTCAGACCCTATGCTCCTATTAATCATCATTGTAATTATTATTATTAATGCTATCTAAATATGTGTTCATTTTCTTAATGACTGCCCATCATAGTGAGCTCGGGCTAGGCGTATAGCCTGGTAACCCCCTCACACCTTGTCCACATGACTTGCCTCTGTCCTGGGGAAGAGATTCTTTACTCTAGCCCTGTGACCCTTGAAAAATAACAGGTACTCCATCTTTGTTTTCCAAGCCCTTATCTTTGAGTGGGAAGAAAAGATTTGAGATCAGACATCATTTGTAAATGAGAGTTTATACTACTGATGTTTTAAAATTGTTTTGGAAGCATCGGGTACTCATACACAGTTTGGCAATAGTTCTCAAATTTGTAGACTGTGCTTACTATCAGTTTTATATAAATCCTGGCAACACCACGTCTTGATGGCTTGAATCTGTTTGTGCGTGATCCTACCGCCCTTGAGCATTTTCCTGTTTATTAAATCACATCATGCTTTTGTTGGAGTTGGAGTGGCAAACTCTGGGACTTAATTAGATTTTTATTAGGCATGGAAAAAAAAAAAAGCACATCACGTTTCCAGTGTTTTCACCTGAACTTGAAGGCATTTCTCTTCCTAGTCTAGAATCCGAGTGTGCCTTCAACCTGCTTATTTCATTCTGACTTTCCTTGCTCAAGGCACACGTCAAAATTAGCCTTTCAATGCTGATTTAATCTCTGTCGTAATTACATGGCTCTTTACACTTGAGACTTAAATTCTTGATTTGGGCTAAAAAGCGACGAAGCTGCTGGAAATAAAAATAAATCTATTTAATACTTTCGAAAGAATCCCATGATAGTAGGAGGCATTATGCACGGATTCAGTTAGCTAGAGGTGGTTGCTCATTTGGGCGGGCGGCTGACGCAGGCACTGACATGCTCCAGCTGGCGAATCTAGTCTGGAGCAGATGGGCCAGGCCCTTAAGGGAGAACAGGAAGAATCCTACAAACCGAGGTTTAAGCCTCTGCTCCTCTAGGATTCAGGTTCCCGTCTGTAAAATGGGGATCATCACAGCTACGGTTCACTGAACACTAACTCTGTGCCAGGTGCCAGTCATTTGATCTTATGAGATAGGGACACAAGTTACTGTGTCCATTCTAGAGATAGGAAAACTGAGCCCACTTAGAGTTTAAGTAATGGCCCACAGCCATATACCTAATGTGTGGTGGAGTCTGGAGATGAACCCAACAATCTGGCTCATAATCCCCACTCTTAACCCCAAGCTGTGGAGCGTGAGAATGGTTGCCCTCTCTATTTTATGAAGGAATTAAATGAGTGACTCTGTGTGTGCTGCATGAACTGCTTTGCAAGGTCAGAAGCTCCTTGGTGATCTTAGCAGCACCCATCGCTCTGATGTTCTGCCCTCACATGGAGCGGTGGGGTGAGGAGGCTGATGGACCCAGGGTCCAGGGTCTTCAGGAAATCATTCAATCTCTCTGAGCCTCAGCTTCCAAGTCTTGGAAATAAGCACAACAATCTTACCTACTCCTCAAGCTCCTGTGGGATAGAAACAAAACAAGGAACGTTGGGAGCCCCGAGAACAGCTGTAAAGGACTGATATGACGGCTCACATTTACTGAGCACGAACCACGTGCAAGGGCCTGCCCGGAGCCCATTATGCAGTGTCTCGTCTAGACTCACAGGAGCGCTAGGAGGTCAGGGCTGTACGAAACTGATTTACAGAAGAGGAAACAGGCTCAGAGGTCGGGTGACTCACCCAGCATCACAGCCAGCCACAGCCCATGTCCTCACCACATGCTCCCACCACAGCCACCCCCCTCACCAGAAAGTGGTTAGGAAAGCTCTCTACTCCTTCCTCTGTGAAGCCTTCCGGATGACCACCTCTGGGCATCCACTCACTTACCCCAATGCCTCCTCCCTCATGCGTGTGTTCCAACCACAACAAGCTTATTCCCAAGTGTAATGCCTGTCTTTAGCCATCCTTCTCCCCGACCTGCTTGTGTCTCCCATGAGACTCTTTCAGAGCAGTTGTTTTTTTGGGGGGCGGGGGATGTGCAGTGAGACTATTTTCCCATTTCCCCTGTTCCTGTCTCTGGGTTCTGGCCCAGAACTCTGCCCAGACTTGGATGTTAGGAGTTTGTAACCTTGAACCACCAAGCTTAGGGATGGCTGCTCTGGACACCAGACCTCGCTGGAATAATGAAGCAGGGCAGGCAAAGGCTAATGCTGCAGGAGATAGGAGCTCCACTCTTGGAATTAATCCAGAGGATGTGCTGCGTGAAAGCTGCTCGTCTCAGGACTCCTGGGATGGCAGGGAGGGGGCTGGGCTGAGGAGGGCGGAGACACCCGTCAGCACAAGTCCTCTTACTGCTCCTCGCGGGGACTGTGCCCCACTCCTCACATCTTAGAGACACCAAAGCCCACCTGCTCTCTGCTCCAAGTTGAACTCTTCCCCAGTGGTGTCTGCTTCGGCTCCAGGGCCATTTCAGTGAAAAGGAGGAAGGTGAACGGACATTGTACACATCAGTCCTTTCTCTTGTAAAATCACTGCTTTGCCTTCAAGGAATGGAAGGAAAAAGGCAAAGGTTGAATTTACAAAGCAGATACAATACTGTCTCCCTCTATCTCCAGAGAAAGCTTTTTTTTTTTTTTTTTTTTCCCTTGACGCCTCCCAACTGACTGGAACCAACAGTATGTCTTCTGGTGCCCTCCTGCTCCCCGCGGCTTCAGCTAAATCTGGAAGTTGTCAAGTCGGCTTCATCTGGGTTTAATTTAACCAGAACTTACAGAATACCGTGGGGAACAGGAGAAGGATAAATCACTGTCCCTGGCTGGTCTCACGGGGACCCTCAGCCAAACAAATAAAACCTCGAGAAGGAGGAAGTCCAGGCAGGAGAGAGCTGATGTCCGGGACAAGGGTGGGCAGCCGGCGTTGGAGGGGCTGCGAAGGGGACAGAGGTCAGAGTGGACTCAAAATGGGGAGAAGCAGTCCAGTTTTCTCTTGGTTTTATCAAATAAGCAGGATTTTCCAAGATAAACATGACTGAGGATGTTCTTACCCCCGGGGGTGGGCACAGCCTCACCAAAGGCGTTGAGCCGGGAAGGAACCAAGCTGACCTCTGCATCCAGCTCTTTTCTCTACTTTTCCTACTGTGGGAGCACAACCAGCCTGGATTTCTATTTTGAATGAATAGAAGAGACATGTCCTAAAGATGGGGGAAACCAGACGGAAGCTGTGACTCTTCCAGGGGGTTGTTGGCATCAAAAAAAGCACCCTGCACCCCGAGGAGAAAGCACAGGATGGGACTTCCAGAGACCCAGAGGCGGGACTTTCAGCACTACTGAACAGCTGGGTAACCTTGACCTGCCACTCACCCTGGCCTCAGTCTCCTCACCTGGACAAAATCCTTTTGCCCTTGAGTTCCGGGCTGCGTGCCTATCTCCCTGGGCTCCTTTGGGAAGGACCTGGGGCAGTGGCTGAGCACCGTTAGGTGGAGCCAGTGACCCAGCAACAACACATTCTCAGCAGTTGAGACACCCTCTTCCCCAAACCAGAAGGATCGAGGCTGGTTCTGACATGTGGAATTTCAGCCTGAAACGACCGGGACCCCACGGACAGCTGCTCCTTTCACCTCGTGCCCAGCTGCGTGCCAGACTCAGCACTTTCTGGATCCAGTCCTTACTTCCTCCTCTATCAAATGCCAAATTCCCCGGTGAAAGGTTTAGGGTTTCCTGAGGGTTTGTGAGACGTTACTTCTTACAACAATAAAGCTGTGTCCAACTTCCCTCAAGATATTTGTGGGGTTTTTTCCCCCCAGTGACTACATTGTCCATCTCCCGTACCTCCATCCTATTCCCTAGGCTGGGCAATCTCAATCTCTCTCCCCCTTCCCTCCCCACTTAGCAAACAGAGGATTCTTTGTGGGAGCCCCTCTTCTTAGAATGCAGATGGATTATAAATAACAAATCGTTTCCCATCACGCAGAAATTAGGGAAGTGAGGAAATCAGATGGAAAGTAGAGCCAGGCTAGAGAAACAACAAAGACAAGAGTGTCTCTTGCACGCAAATACGGACCTGGCAGCCCTGTGCATTCCCATGAGACAGCCCCAGAGGGGGGACCCTGGGCGGCTCAGAGCAGAAAGCACGATCTGGGCCACGAAGCACAGCCTGCCCACCAGCTTCGGAGCAGTGCCGCGTGACAGACGGTTAGCCGTCACAGGAGCCGCTCCTTTGACAAGGAACGGAACGTTAGCTGGGTATCTGTGACATCCCCAGCCTCCCTTGCAGCAAGCGATGGCCGTGTGGGCTGTGAGCACAAGAGGTATCTTACTTCTGGGTCTTGCCAGGGAAAGGGCTGGGCGTGTGTTTCCTGGGACTTCTGACGCTTTCCTTCTGGCCGAGGAGCCAGGAGAACTGTGCCCAGAGATGGGAACCCCGTGTTGGGTGGCAGAGCCCCTGGAAGGAAAAGAAGCTTCTTCGTTGAAGTCGCTATATGTCCGAGGCCTCTTAGAAAACCAGCGCAGCCTGCATTCCGACGCAGCAGCTTCTTCTGTACTGAGGCAGAGAGAGGCTGTCCACACAGTTCACCTCTTCCACGCCGATTTGAAGTGTCCCCCTTATTGCAGGCTATGCCATCTCCCCGGGCAGCCAAGGTGGCAGGTACAAGTGGTGAAGTAGAAGACACATGGCGAAAGGGATAGACCTTAAAAGCTAGTATTGAAGGAACAAAATGAGTCCCCAGAACAAGATTTATGGCACAATAACATTTATGTAAATTAAGCCTCCCATCAAGCCCACAGCACTTATTTCAAGGATTTACGTGTATATTCAAGGATATATATATGAAATCATAAAGGGAGGCAAGGGGAAAAAATAAAACATTTACAGGCAAGGGGCCTTACTCAGACAGATGATGGTAATTGCTGGGATCTGACGTTCACACACACACACGTGCACGCACGCACGCACCTGTGACAAGGGGAGCAGGAACATGGCGGGGGGGGCGGTTGGGGTGAACGAAATGGGGCCTGGGATCTGCACGTGCGGTAAGATATTTCCACTGGAAAGAACAGGACCGGGTCTGGGTAAGCTACAGAATTTCAGGATTTTTCAGAACGTGATTTTTGGCCTGAGTGTGTCTGCGTGTGAAATGAAAACATGAAGGTCTTAAGTCTTATCGAATAGTTTCCCAGGATTGTCAGTTGCTTAAACATTCAATTTATGACAGGACAAGTCCTAAAAACAAGCAAAACAAAAAATCCCTCAAGACCCCCACCTTATTGCCTTATGTCCTGTGTGTTTTCTTTTTTTGTTAATGAAGATACTTGCATATGAAATATCTCAGGTTGCTCTCTAGCTATGTTTAATTTTGCGGGTTTAACGTAAGGGGAAAAACCCCTCTGCCTCCTTTAATTACATTTTTGAACTTTGTGATACAAAAGGAAAGTAGCTGGGGAACAGTAGACAGACTATTGCAACTTTTTAAATCTTGCACGCACACGCATCATTGGTAACCAGCGGAGCCTTCACCTGTCCTGAAAATGCTTGCAGAGGGAGGGTGAGGAACTGAATTGGTTGCATCTGGTGAATCATAGGAAACAAACAAAACACAACTTACTAAACTCTGAAGTCTGCCAACAATAACACAGGCTGATTTTCCTCACAATGCTTGGGGCTCGAGAGCTGAAATGTGGCGAGGTGTACGCAGGGACCAAACTATTTCCCGCAGGGATTCTTCCTCAGTGAAGTGCGAATCCGAGGGCCCAAGGTGATTTCCTAGATATGTAGGAAGGCCAGACCTGCAGTGAGCAAAGCCACAGTGAGGCTGCCAAGGATGTCCAAATACATAGGACAGAAGGGGGACCACCTTTTATTAAGGTGGAACTGGAGACAAATGCCATGCAGGTGTATGGACAGCTGATGTCATCCAGGTGTGTAGATAGTTGACTATCTCAGGGCCACAATCTTGGACTCCTGAACTATGAGAATTTATGGAGACCTTCAGGATTGTCTAGGTCTCCTCCCCAACCTGCTTTACAGATGAGGACATGGAGATCCTGAGTTGGATAGGGCTTGCCCTGGGTGACTGAGAAAGTTATTATAAGTGTGGGAGTTTGCACCCAGGTGTCCTGGTTCATAGGCTGGAAACATTCATTTCCCCCATATACACCTTTTCAAGCAGTTTGCTCCTGTCCAGCTCACTCCTACAAGAGCCTGGATGGTGATTCAGGTCCCAGCCTATCTTATGGACTCCACCTGATCCAGGGGTTCAGTAGCTTAGATTTTGCCTTAGACATTTTATTAGCTATTAATTGGGAGGATGTGGTGGTTGTTCCCAACATCCCATGAAGAATGATGCCTTTCTTTTCCATACTCATCTGACCATGATGAGAATTCATGTCATATATAACGAGCTCTTAAAATTCATTAAGCAAAAGAGAGTTCCCTGCAGCGCTGGTGGTCAATGTGAATTGGGCCGTATCTTGTGACTTAGAAATTTCCTTTTGCTGAATGGCCCCAGGAGAATTCTCCCCAAGGAGAAATATGGGAACATGTTGATTTGATTTGATTTTGATTTCTCTGAATTCAAATCCTGAGTTTTTGCAAAATAAATAACGAATACAGATCTGTATTAAGAATATTTTGGGCAGCTAGAAAACATCATCACTGATCATATGCTTTACTTTCAATCCAAATATTAATATATGGAATATTCTTTTCCAGCTTTATGGAGCTATCACTGACATAGAACATTGTGTAAATTTAAGGTGTACAAATGAGTTGATTTGATACCCTTACATATTGCAAAATGATTACCACTGTAGCATTAGCTTACCCCTTCATCATGTCACATAATTACAATTCCTTTTTTGGGGATGAACATTTTAGATCTACCCTCTTGCCAACTTTAAAATATATTGTACTTTAATATTATATACTATTACTTTAGTCTTATTAATAGTCCCCATACTGTACATTAGCTCTCTTATAACTGGAAGTTTGTATCCTTTGACCAACATCTGGAACATCTTTATCATAGTAAGTTTTGTAAAAAACAAAAAGTTGCAAACAACCTAAATGTCCATCAGTACTTTTTTTCTATGGGTTTAGACATATGTAGGTAAATGCGCAGGGGAGGCGCCTGTGTAACCTCTGAGGGAGGGACTGGGATTAAGGTCAAGGGGACTTTAGGCTTATCCGTTTCATTTTTATTAAACAGGGGAATGTGTTCATGTGCGCCTTATGTTATTAAAAATAACTTGAAAAAGATAAACTGTAGAGAAAGCACCCAACTGGTATAATAGACTTGTCTTCCAATACCTATCATGTAAGAAGAGAGGGAGGGCTGGAATCCACTGCTGGCTCCCCTGGCAGCTGCCTTGTGCCCCCTTGGCTGGCATCCCAGCCACGCTGGGGAAGTAGGGAGCCAGGATTATATAGATTCACCACTTGATGGCAGACTGTAGGACACGCACACTTGAGCGTACATCAGAATAATCTGCAGTGCTTGTGAAAAATTCATTTTCCCAGGTGTCACCATCTGTAATTCTGACTTAATGGGTCTGTCTTGTGATCTAGCAATCTGCATTTTAAATAAGCACCAGAGTTGATTCTGATGAAGGTGGTCTTTGGGCCACACCGGGAGAAGAATAATGCCTTCCTGCTATTCACCTTTTGCAGGGACACTGCTCATGATCTCCTCGTATGAAAGCCAGGGCTGTCTCCCTGGTGACAAAGATAAGACACAGGGAAGACGCACCATCCCAGACATTCCAGCTGCCAAACTATCAACTCTGAATGTCATGCGCGTGTGCACACATGTATAATGCACTTGAGAGACACCATGAGGACCATTCCAGTTCTGCATTTTGTCTAAAAAAATGTTGGAAAGGGCCTCTCACCCTAGATAGCGACACTAGAATGAATTTAGATGTGTCTACATAATAATTCAGAGATGGACATAATGAGATATGGTTTGGGTTCATCACTGAGTTTTGTCAGGAGACATATATTAATGGAAACCCAAATGAGGGGCTTCTGCAAGGTCAAGGTTCCCATCTAAATGTGACAACAAAGAGCCCTTCACTGCTAAATGGCACAATGCAGATGCAAGATGATTTTTGCCATCCATAAAAGCCATTTCTAGCTGATAATGAAGCAGGGCTGGGATCAAAATGGGAAAGCAAATTGCCTTGTCTCTGTCTTTCAAAAAGAATGTAATAAAAATGGCTTTCAAGTGTTTTGTTTTTGTCTCTGTGTTTATTTATCTATTTTTGTATTTGTATATATTTTCTACTAGTAGAACTGAGATACATCATCCATGCTGCTAATGTCTAAAGTATTGGTGAAAGTCTAATCAAAAGTGAAAAAATAAAATGTGCTGAGATCTTGAAGATCTTGACAAGTTGGTCAAACCTTGTGTCTTTTAGAGGTTCTTTGTACAGAGTGTCACCAGAGAAGGTGACCTGGCTGGGTCACGGATCTTTAGGGATTCAATGAGGCCCAGGATGGTTGTAGTGAGGCCGTCTTTGATGAGAAATCTCAGATATGCCATGGGCAAGCAGGGGCTAGAACTGCTCTAGAATGTTGCCAGGGCCCTAGCAACTGAGCCAAACTGGATCACCCCAACCCTGCATAATCACACCAAATACAGGCTGCATTGTCAGCATCTTTCGTGGACCACTTGGGATATTGTTAAAGACTACATTTTGAAATGAAACAATCAGCAAAGAGGAAGAAGGAAGCAATTTCATCCAGTTATTCCACCCCAGGCCCTGACAAGGAAGCCGGGATTGCTGGCAGTCCTCCTCTGGGAAGAAATGACGCTAAGCAGTGGCTGGGGAAAGAAGGGGATGGATTCCTGACACAAAACTCCAGCCTGCAGAACACTATGATGATTAGAAAGACATAATGAGCACTCACTTCTTGTTCATTTCCTGCCACCTGAGCACTCATACACATTCATGAGGGTCTGAAGTTGTGCACGGTTCACATAAACACAGGAAGGGGAACATATTTAAGTAACATGGGCAGTGCTGATATGGCTGAGTTGAAAAATGCTATGAACGCTTTAAAGACTCTTGTGCTTGAAGGGGCACCTGGGTGGCTCAGTCGTTAAGCGTCTGCCTTCGGCTCGGGTCATGATCCCAGGGTCCTGGGATCGAGCCCTGCATCAGGCTCCTTGCTCGGCAGGAGGCCTGCTTCTCCCTCTCCCACTCCCCCTGCTTGTGATCCCTCTCTCGCTGTCTCTCTGTCAAAAAATAAATAAAATCGTTAAGAAAAAAAAAAAAGACTCTTGTGCTTGAAAATAAATATGATCTATAAGGATCAACACAATTCAAATTTACTAAATCAATTAGCAAATTTCCCAGTGATCATTAATTTCTTTCATAGTAGGTGGTCGTAGTGACATGGACCATGGTCATACATCTCAGTGATTTTTGTAGATTTCTCTCTTACTACACTGCAGATTTTTAGACAGTAATGTTCTTCTCCTTCTCCCTCCTCCTCCCCCTCCCTGTCCTCCTCCTCCTCCTTCTTCTTGTCTTTGATTCTTCTTACAATATCTTGCCCTGGACTTTGTGTGCCTGGTAAACAATGATGAAATGAGGAAAAGCATTTAGGCTGAGAAAGAGAAAATTCTTCTCAAAAAGACGGTCTTCTGGAGTAATGTTCAAGTAATGTTCAAGTGGAAGAGTTTGGGAATGTCCCCTAGAATGACCCCCTCTTGAAAGAGGAAGTGACATAAGGCAGGACAAAGAATTATCCAAGAGTAGCCACCATTATTGTGTGCCAGCTATGTACCAGTTCTTTCACTCATGTTGGATCTTCTCCACATCCTCCAGAGGTGGGCATTGTTATGGATCTCTTATATTTTTCAGGGTTGGGGTTCTTCCAGGATAAAGAAGGGAACACCACATCAAAAATTAATGATGTAATGTAATGTATGGTGACTAACATAACATAATAAAATAAAATTTTAAAAAATAAAATATTCAGGAAAAATATTAGAAATAAGTACACTAAATTAGAATTAATGAATATTCTAGATAATAGGATTCTGGATGATATTTTCCCTTTATTATTCTGATTCATATTTCTCAACTTTTCTGTAACGTACAATTATTTGTTCATTTATCTCTTACTTTGCTCCCCAGAGGATTGGACATAGCTTAAAAAGTGAAAATAATTGAGTTAACAGGTGTTTTGTGTGTATAAATAAACATAGAGAAATAGGAAAAAAAAAAAAAAAAGAATTTGCCCAGCAACTCACATTTAGTAGAGGTACAGGTTGTTACCCAAGCCCAAGAGCCCTGTGCTATTCCTTCTTTGGGCTTTGGGACCAGTTCTCTCCTCCATTTGACAAACTTGGGCTTACCTTACCTTGGGGATTTTTTTTTTTTTCCTCTTAAATATCATCTTTTTCTGTTTGCCCTGTTGCTATTTCAGGAAGTGGTGAGAGACGGGAAATGAAATGTTTTCCAAATTCAATGCTGGGGTCAAGATGTCTGAAGAGAGTTGGCCATGAAGGCTGGTAGCATTTCAAAGAGAGTACTTTGTGTACTTTGAATGTGCTGTATTGATGTGAGGCATTGGTTCTCAACCAGGGATGATCTTGTCCCTTATTCCTACCCCCAGCGGATATTGGCAATGTCTAGAGACATTTTTTGTTATCATAATTAGGTATGTGTGCCTACCTTCTAGAGGGTAGAGGCCAGGGATGCTGCTAAACATCCTACAATGGCCAGGACAGCCCCCCTTGACATAGAATTATCCAGCCCAAAATGTCAACAGTACTGAAGTTGAGCAACCCTGGTATAATGTGGTGCTATGTTCCTTATATCTTTGGAAACTAGTTTTATTTGGCATTTTTTATTTTTCATAAAGAGGAGCACAATCAGTTACATATATTAGGGTAGGTTAAATTAATATATTATAAAGTATTCAAAAGACAACCTTAATTCTCTCATGTTTCTCTTGACATTTTTATTCAAAATGATAGAGAAGCAGGGTAGGAAATTAAGAGAGTATAGGGGTCTCCTCATAACTTTTGGTCTTTACAGTATCACTGCTATAAAACACTGATAACAGGGGTTAGTGAATATTTGTCACGACTCACGGCTGCTCATCATCTGCTTGTATTTGGAGAAATTCCTCATTAAATTCCCAAAGTGGAGGTCAGACTCCAAATTCCCAGAATACTTTGCAATTAAAACTCAGGTTTGGCATCCTGGCTCTGATGCACCCAGATGAGACTTGCATTCAGACATGAATGACCCGAGGGAAGGGGGTCTCATTTTGTTGGATAGAGTGCAGCAGAGGCACCTGGATTTTAGGGACAGTGATGGCCACAAGATTGCGTTCCTAACGTGGAAGTGGCATTGGTGGAGGTGACAGAAACAGTGGCAGCAAAACTGTATATGGGGCTTTCTTCACCAGTGATGGTTTTGGAAGCTTAGCCTTGAGGCTGGTTGACCAGTTCTCCCAACAATTATGTGGGCTAGCTGCCATTCTTCTCTACGTACACCAGTGAGTGGGCTCTAGTGTTTGCAAGGAGGAACTCAGGCTGATGCACAGAGTTTATCAGGGCAGCGTTATTTGAAACCTAGGGTCCTTTACAAAGACTCTTTTGTTTCAATAACGTTGTGAGTTTTCAGTTTAAAACAAAAGGCAGAAGGTTCTCCCGTCTTGATAGCCTCTAGATGTGGGGCTTTAGGACTTTGGTAGCAGGCAGAAGAGGTGGCAGCTGGAGATACAGGGAACTACTTCCTGGGGGAGCCCTGCTTGAGGAACCAGACAGCGTCACACTCCAGACCTAGAGGAGGTGAAAGAAAACTGGAGGGATTGAGACATCACCTCCTCCCCCAGCCAAGGGGGCAGCTCTTGTTTGCTGTGGCACAAGCTTTGCTTAGAGAAACCTTTTATATAGTATTTCAATTTTATGTGTTGATCACCTTTTCAGTGTGTGTTGTGAGGAAAGTTTTATGTCTATCTGAAAAGGTCCTTTGCACTTATTTCTTTAAGTATTTGGATAGTAAAGAAACTTATCCAGAGGTGGGTGTAGGGACAGATGCAAGAGTGCCCGTCAATATGGAGTACTTCAGTGCTTCTCTCTATTCTTATTTCCCTGATAGCTAACTCAAGGTCTTATTTTTATTTTTTAAAGATTTTATTTATTTATTTGAGAGAGAAAGAGAGAGTGCGAGTGAGAGAGAGAGAGAGAGAGAGAGAGCACAAGCAGGGAGGAGAGGCAGAGGGAGAGGGACAAGCAGACTCCCTGTTGAGCAGGGAGCACAATGTGGGGCTTGATCCCAGGACCGTGGGATCATGACCTGAGCCGAAGGCAGATGCTTCACTGACTAAGCCACCCAGGCACCCCTCAAGGTCTTATTTTTAGTTGAGTGCACAATTCATTATTTAAAAAATATATAAAGAAACAGCTTTATAATGAGATATATAAGTCTGGAAAGAACTGGAAATCAGGTCTCAGGGATAGCTAATTTACTAAAGCCACAGGGTTTTTCAGTTTTAAGACTGAGTTTCCTAGAGTAGCACCTAGGATTGTTTTCATAGTTTCCTCACCTAGCTAACTGTGTCTAGCCAATTCTGCCCTTGACTGTGAGTTCTTTGAGGGCAGGAATATATCTTACTTACACTTCTTTCTCTCACTCAGGGCACCTTGTCTACCCCTTCTCACATAGATGTATCACAATTATTTGTTGACTTAGCAGGTTTCATTGTTCCCTTTTCTCTTGTGGCAGGGAAGAGGTTCCTACTCCGCCCCAACGTCGTAGGTAAATAGGTGACTCTGGGGGCTCATCCACTCCTTTCCCCGGAGCCCAAATTAAAATGGGCAGAAGCAAGATGTGTGCCCCACAGGCCACTGCAGAGGGCACAAGGCTATTTGGGGCTCACTTTTGATTTTGAATAGGCTGAGAAGAAAAGCCCAGCCAAGGACTGTTTCTGGTCAGCATAATAGCTTTTAAGCCTCCATTCTGTTTGGGCAAAGTTGTGTTGGAGAATTTAAAAATGACTAGGGTGTGCACTGACAAAGCTGGAAGTGATAATTGATATGTCTGGAGTCTGTGATGAAAAGCACTTTCTCAAAGTGATCTAAGGGAAACACTTTTTTTTTTCCCTTTAGTTTGTAATGTCATGTCAGTTCTTACACTGCTGGGCTCAGGTTGTTGTCTTCCGTATGCAACCAGCCCTGCCATGTTGAGGTGGCCTCTAGATCTTCTGCACAGCTCAGCCTGGGGAGCCCGGGTGGGGCAGGGGATCCTGGCTCTTGGAATACACACAGGACAGGCTTAAAAGAGAAAACTCTCTTCTGGGGGGCATCTATTTTGTTATTGCCTGGACCTAGACAAGTCTCAAAAAATTGCTGTCGCCCGACTAGTAATTAAAAAAAAAAAAAAGATCCCTAGTGGTTTCTCATATGATTGGGCTAACTGCAGTATATCAGCATGAACTTAGCTGGCATAAAATTTTCAGATCCCTTAATCCAGTTTCTCAGAATTCTAACTGCGGTCCTTATCTCTGTTGTCTCTGTCTTCTGTTTTCTATATCCTGTTGCCTCCTGCCACCATAAAGCAAATACCATCTCCTGAAGTTCATACGGCCCATGGTTTTATCTCCTACATGGGATCTAAGCAAGGGACATTTGGGGTGAGCCATAAAGATCTGTTTAGCTTAGGGGCACCTGGGTAGCTCAGTGGGTTAAGCATCTGTCTTTGGCTCAGGTCATGACCCTGGGGTCCTAGGGGCTCCCCGCTCAGTGGGGAGCCTGCTTCTCTCTCTCTTTCTGCTGCTCCTTCTGCTTGTGCTCTCTCCCTCTCTCTCTCAAGTAAATGAATAAAATCTTAAAAAAAAATAGATCTGTTTAACTTAAACATAATAATGCTAGGGTTGCCCTTAGATTTGTTAGAGCTTCCCTTGATAAACCACAACAGCAGAGGGATTCCTATATTTATTTAATCCCATTTGAATCTACTTGTATTTTCAGTGTGTGTAGGTGCATCTCTCATTCATTCAGAGGCAGTAAAGTAGTGAAGTACTTTGGCTCCAGAATCAGGTGAATCTAAGTGGAAGTTCCGGCCTTGCTACTTATTAGTTGTGCCATTATTCAACTAGCCTTGAAGAGCCAGTTTCCTCATCTATAAAATGGGTATAATAAGAGTTCTGAGGCGATCAAGTGAGATAAATATGTGACGTGTGACGTACTTAGCCTAGTGTCTGGTATGTAAAAAGCCCTCAACAAAGAGTGGCTATTTTCATCCATTCAATCAAAAGAAACCTGTATTGGGTATCTGCAGGGTTCAGGCATGTTGTAGGTATCCACAAAGAGTTTACTGTCATGGTTGGTGGAGACAGGGGGCTAAAACACTTTGAAAAGTAGAAAATAATAAAGGACAGAAAGATCATGAAAGGGAAAAGACTTTGAGGACAGGATAATCTTTGAGTTGGGTCTTGTGGGATGTGAAGAATGTGGAGTTGAGTGGGGACCAAGCAACCAGCATGCTAGAGAAAGGGAACAACCCCTGAGAGAGTTATTGGACAGGAATGGTGAGAACATGTTAGCATCCAGTTTGGCTTAAACATCTATCTATCTATTATCTATCTATCTATCTATCTATCTATCTATCTATCTATCTATCTATCTATCTATCTATCATCTATCTATCTATTTTGGCAAATGACCAACTCTCTTGTCTGGAAGGTGCCCCGATGGTGAACTTCCAAACACTGACATTTGCATGCAAATATTGAGAAGGTTGTCTTTTTATTATTTTTAGTATTATGTATCAATGATAGCGACCAGAATGATGGCTCTAGTTATGGGTCCTAACTACATCCCAAATCCTTTTTCACCTTCATTAGCACAATTTCCTCTGCTTAAGATATTTTGAAGCAAAAGTGTGCCTCTGCTCATGGGTGCATATAACCCTGTGGGTGAACATGATGGGAAACATTACCAGGTAAAGGATTAGACAGGCCCAGATTGTATTTCATTCTGATGTTTTTTCTCCATATCATATTGGCTTTAGCTATATTGATTATAACTCAGGGAGTGTGTGGGTTTAGAATAGATACAGTTGCATCAGATTGATTGCTTTTCTTCTGATGTTGACTTTTCCTCCTGTATGAGTGAATCACTTGAATTTGCAGGATGGACTAATTTTACTTCTTTCCAGCCTAAGCGGGGTATCTGCAGCTAAGAGGACAAAGGACAAGAGCTTACCAGGGAGGGGACAATGAGGGGATGAGATAGTTTCAAAGGAGGGAGGTTACAAAACCTCCTTCCTTGATCCCCTCCCCCACGGTGGTGCGCGTTAATATGCATTTCAATGACAACTTAATGCTACTGGCGGTTTTATGTAATTTTTAAGCTTCTCAAATGTTTGTTACTTTTGTTATCCTTGTGGAAATCCTACAATCACTAGATTATTTTTAATCCTAAAATGAGGTAAGGAGGCCTGGGTGTGTTTATGTAGGAGGAAGATGGTAGGATCCCAGTCCTGGAACTTGCCTATTGTCCTGGAACAATCAGGCAGATAAAGGATAGGTCATGGTGGCTGAGAAAGAAAGATCAGGGGCGCCTGGGTGGCTCAGTCAGTTAAGTGTCTGCCTTCAGCTCAGGTCATGATCCCAGGGTCCTGGGATGAGCCCCCAGTTGGGCTCCCTGCTCAGCGGGGTGTCTGCTTCTCTCTGCCCCTCCCTCCCGCTCGCGCGCGGGTGAGCGCGTTCTCTCTCCAACAAATAAGTAAAATCTTAAAGAGTGACAAGGGTGAGTAGGGGAGTACTGGGGGCCAGGTATTGAAGTGTGCCTGTGTAGGGTAACTGGCATGAGGGCAGTATTTTCTGACTTAGGGAGGTAAGACAGCGTCGTCATTGGCACTAAGTGCGGTGACCCACAGCAGGAGCACCCTCCTCCGACCCCATAGGGACCCCTGCTTATTTTCCTTCACTCCACGCTACTGCTCTCGAGTCGGCAGCCCCCAGCCCAGAAAACAGGCGGTGAGGCAGCTGTTTGAACCAGGCCAGGTCCCTTCTCTGAAAGCGTCGGACCCAGAGAGGGGCGGGAACTCCTTAATTGTCCTCCCCCGGGACCCACGCGCCGCACCGGAGGTGGGGGGGGGGGGGGGGGGGGGTTGCCGCTGGAGCTGTCCGCTGTTCTGAACTCTGTTACTTGGCTGGATTCGCCGCTCTCCAGGCACGCCGCAGCCTGGGTGAAGGGCTCAGGGGGTCCCGGGAAGGGCGAGGGCCTGAAGGTCTGCGGCGAACTCCAGACTCTCAATTTTAAATCCCTGCCAGAACCTCCTATCCACTTCAGCCTAGACTCTAAGCAGGGTCCCTCTAAGCAGCCGTTAAGGACGGGTCCCTCATCTCTCCCTCACATCCCGTGGTGTAGCTCCAATCCCCCACTCCACTTCTTACCCTGCTTCAGGTCATCCTGAGAGCCTAGCGCTTGACGCCGCTCCTCGCTCTTCATCCGCCGCTCCCTCCTCCGGAGCAGGACTCTCCCAAGGCGCAACAAGCTCCCGCATCGAGATTCTCCCTCGTCCCTCTGACCCAGGTTTGTCTGCCCCTCCTCCCTTTTCTGTTTCCATCGTCTTCACACTGTCCTTCTACCTAGTTGTCTAAGCACCGACTCTGGTGGTGCGCGCTCCGCCCCCATTTTTCCATACAAGGGAGCGCTGAAGTGGGGGGCGGGGCGGAGGGGAGGCGCTCCAGTCCCTCTCAAAAACTGCGAGCCCACTGGGAACCCCTGAATCTGTTGAGCTCCCGCGGAGAAGCGAGAAGCCTGCGCCGCCGTCGTGGGCTGAGGACCGCTAGGGGACAGCCGGGATTCGGCCCCTCATTCCGCGGAGCGTTTTCCCGCCCACCAAGCCCTACTCACCAGGTAGGACCATGCTTCTGGGTCTGACCTGCGTGGACTGCCAAGGCTCTACATTGAATAGGAGGCGTTTAAATAACCTGTGCACACGTAATCTCCCATAGATTTATTTTTATATAGGGGGGATGACAGCACTTCTGATTGTTGTTATTTATTTTGGCCAGTTATTCTAAAGGGAGTATTTGGGTAATTGAGGTGGGGGAGGGAGGCACGATTGGTGTAGGAGGGATGGATGGACAATGGGAAGTGACGGGCTTTGATTCTCTTTGGACAGGTGGCCATGGCCTCACTGGCGACTCAGGGCCCCCCGGTCCCTGACTTCTTTTCCGGGTTGCCACCGGCGGCCTCAACTCCTGCCAACCAGAGCACGGAGGCCTCGGCGGTCAATGGGTCGGCGGCTGACCCAGGCGCTCAGGCCGTCACGCCTTTCCAAAGCCTGCAGCTGGTGCATCAGCTGAAGGGGCTGATTGTGCTACTCTACAGCATCGTGGTGGTTGTGGGGCTGGGGGGCAACTGCCTGCTGGTGCTGGTGATTGCGCGGGTGCGTCGGCTGCACAACGTGACCAACTTCCTCATCGGCAACCTGGCCTTGTCCGACGTGCTCATGTGCACCGCCTGCGTGCCGCTCACGCTGGCCTACGCTTTCGAGCCACGCGGCTGGGTGTTCGGCGGCGGCCTGTGCCACCTGGTCTTCTTCCTGCAGCCTGTCACCGTCTACGTGTCGGTGTTCACTCTCACCACCATCGCGGTGGACCGCTACGTCGTGCTGGTGCACCCGCTGCGCCGGCGCATCTCCCTGCGCCTCAGCGCCTACGCGGTGCTGGCCATCTGGGCGCTGTCCGCGGTGCTGGCGCTGCCGGCCGCCGTGCACACGTACCACGTCGAGCTCGAGCCGCCCGGTGTGCGCCTCTGCGAGGAATTCTGGGGGTCTCAGGAGCGCCAGCGCCAGCTCTATGCGTGGGGGCTGCTGCTCGTCACCTACCTGCTCCCCCTGCTGGTCATCCTCCTGTCTTACGTCCGGGTGTCGGTGAAGCTGCGGAACCGCGTGGTGCCGGGCTGCGTGACCCAGAGTCAGGCCGACTGGGACCGTGCGCGGCGCCGCCGCACCTTCTGCCTGCTGGTGGTGGTCGTGGTGGTGTTCGCCGTCTGCTGGCTGCCGCTGCACGTCTTCAACCTGCTGCGGGACCTCGACCCGCACGCCATCGACCCCTACGCCTTCGGGTTGGTGCAGCTGCTCTGCCACTGGCTCGCCATGAGCTCGGCGTGCTACAACCCCTTCATTTACGCCTGGCTGCACGACAACTTCCGTGAGGAGCTGCGCAAGCTCTTGCTTGCCTGGCCCCGCAAGATCGCGCCGCACGGCCAGACCGTGACAGTCAGCGTGGTCATCTGATGCCGCCGCGCCAGGGCTTGGCTGGGGAGCTCCACGTCCACTCGTCTCGAGGGTACCCACCTGGGGCCGGACCGGAGCGCTTTTCCCCAGCACCAGGGCTAATCCAATACGTGGCAAACCCTCCAGCTTAGGCCTCTTGTCCAGATGTCTTGCCTTGTCCTTATGTCTATGTAAAATGTGAAGTGGGCTTTGGTGGGAGTCTTGTGCTTTGCTTGGAAGAGGCCAGGGAGAGGGGAGAGGATTTATTATTTCCTCTTTATGCCCTTGAATGCCAAACAAAGCTCTTTCTCCTGGTTCACAGCAGTAATTCAGAACCGTGGCTGTCTTCCTTGCTTTCCCTTCTGCTTGCTCAATGGTGAGTTGAAGGAACAATGGGGGTGAGATTTAGAATGACTGAGTTGGGGTTGGTGAAGCTTTTCCGGTTGCCTTTTAAAAAGGACTCAACTGAGCTGTCATACCTGATATTGATGAGTCAATCTGAATCCATTAATTCCTAGGATTCCAGGGAAATACGTATTACAAATCTATATCTGGGATTTCAGCATTTCCTGAATAAGACCTTTCCACACCAAAAGGGTTTTACTTTGAAATTCACTTGAATTTATAGCACAGAACCACTCAGGAGCCACCTTTCAAAAGGTCTTGCTATTGTTTCCCTCCTCCTTATCCCCTAACTTCTATTTGAAAATGATAAGATGAATTAGTCAATGAAGGGGTAGATATACAGGGATAAAGAAGGAAAGGTCCAAATCACTTAAGGGGGCATGTAACTGTGCATGGGACAGACATCTCTGTGTGTGTTTGTGTATACACACCCAGTGTTTGCCACAAGGCAGGTACACAGATATTTGGCTTTCTGAATATTCAATGTAAACCATGTTCCAAAGCATTCTCTTGCATTCTCTAATTGCTCAGTAGCAACAGTTCAATAGCTGTCATCTGACTGCTCAGCACCTGCTCGGTGGTGACACGCTTGGAACACAATCAACCCAGAATGCAAGGACTGGGAGAAGTTTACTTAAAGCCAGAACCAAAAAATAAACTACCACCCAACTGCAATCAAACATTTCATTCCTTCCAGGCCTAAGGGGAGAGATGAAGGCTGTTGGGCCATGATACCAGGCTGATAATCCTCACCTTCACCTCCTGAGAATTTTGTATATGAGGCCAGTGCCCTGGGACAAGGGTTTTCACATTGCTGTGGGAGCAGTGACTGGACAATGAGGGTGAGAGTCTTGGGAAGTGATGCACGATATCCACCTGTCAGATCAGCCCCTGAGCATATAGGGCATGAGCTAGTGCAGCAACTGCAAGTCCATTATCATCTGTAAGACTCCAGTACCACCCTAGCTCACTATACAGTAGAATTAACTTCTCTCCTTATCTTACTCTCTAAAATGAGCTCATTCACTCATGAAAGTGTGCCCTGAAAGGAAGGGAAAGAGGGGAAAGACTTGGGGATGACAAGAATTAAGTCCTATCACTCCAATGCCAGCAACCACTGATGGGAGAGTAAGAATTCCTGGTTGGGCTAGTTAGCAATATGTATCTTTAGTAGTTATATAGCCAGACTGTTCGCAGCATGGGGGAGGGCAGGAAAAGCCTGGCTTGGGAGAAAGAAAAAAGCAGGTTAACTTGGGAGATGCAAGTTACCTTTGGCAATGGCACAAATAACTAACTTTGAGCTTCATCTGTGGATGTGGAGAACAAAGCTTATGCTCTAATAAATGTAGCCCACCAACAGCATTATGTCACTCCCCCTTTCCAAACGAGCTCATCCCCCAGGCATCCCGGAGGCTGACTCCTGTGCTTCCAGGAGCTCTATTACTTGGGAGGCTCAAGGCCAGACAGGCATTTCATGTTTCCTCAGAGCATTCTTTTGATGGGGATGTGTGGAGAATGGAGGGGATTGGGGAAAGGCTGGATTAGTTGGGGGAAGGATCTGATTAATTGTGGTTTCAGTTTTGGAAGGCTTAAGTCACTGGTTCTCAGCTCTCGCTGCTCCTAGAATCAGTTGGAGAGCTTTCAAGAAACATCAGTGCCTAGGTCCTATCCCCAGAGGGTCCAACTGATTTGAGATGGGACCCGGGCCTTAGCATTTTTCAAAGCACTTTGGGTGACTTTAATATGCATCCAAGGTTAAGCCCCTTAAGAATTATCCTCTAATGAATCTCAGCAACATCTGAATGAAGATTTGATTGTACCTACCAAAGGTATTATGAATTTGGAGTTGAATTCTGTCAGGGTGTTACATGCTACACTTGGGGAATAATATTCTTTTAGCCTTCAAACCAGTATTCATGAATCACACAGAGGCAAATCCGTATAATCAAAATATATAGGTATTCATTCAACAGTTTCCTTACAAATCTCTTATGTGTAAGGCAGTGCATGAGTCCAGTTTTTTTTTCAACTTTAGATTCATTTGCAGTATAAAGTTATACACCATGAATTATTCCAAATCCTGGTTTCCAGGTGTTAAAAAAATTGAAGCGTTCTCTGATTAGCTTGATTGAAATCTACATCAACTGTGAGAAGAAAGTGTCCTCATTAATTACTAGAAAAGCTGCCCGCTGTTTCTAGCTTACAACTTAAGTTAAAAATTTTAACATTTACATGGACTTTATGGAGAGCCTAAAGAGGCTGGAGAATTATGCTGTGTTTATAAACATCTTTATGAATGATCCAAATTGCCCCCTGAACAGCAACTAATTAATTCTTACCCTATCTCAAATCTATCTGGGACTAGTTTGACTGTAAAACAAACCAACTTAAAAAAAAAATCTCTCAGAAGTGAGTCCTATAGAAATCCACATAGTGCTGAGGTAGAAAATTTTATTTAATATAATTTATTTTAGTTAATACCAAGCATCCAGTCCTCCTGCAAGGAGTCATACAAACCATAAAGCTGGGAGCGGAGCCAGCCGGGTACTTGGCAACGGCCCATTCCGAGGCTGACGGGAGGTTCTGTAATCCTCTTTGCAAGCATTGTCACTGGGTCTCACTTTTGGCAGCCAATCAATAGATTTATCTCAGTGAATCAGCCGGGGAGTGTTTCAATATGTGTTGGCAACAGTTACCTGGAAATAGCAACTGTGAGAGATGCTAAGGTAACAATATTCCAATTGATGGAACCTTCCTGCATTTTTGTTCTTGTGGATTTTCAGCCTGCTCTTTTATTGCGGGTGCTCAGTTCCAGGTTTATTTTCTCAGGTGGGCTACTTAACCATCTCGGTCCTGTGGCTTGCATTTATGAACATTTAGTAGTCTTGCAAATGCAAGGCATGGAGCTGACATCAAGGGGACCCAGGAAAGAGCGTAGCTAGATCTGAAAGTGAACCCAGAGTTCATCCCCCACAGACGAGAGGTCAGGAGCACTTTTGTTTTTACCAAGTAGATTTCGATGGATTTCCCTCCATGCGTTGATGTCTTTGTTATATGTGTAAGATGCATGTGTTACTGACTCACTGTATGAAGCTCTTCAGGCTGGGGCTTGCACTGTTTGCTGCCTTGTGGGTGCTCAATAAAATTAAATCAGTAGTACCATCTCAAGTTACATACATAGTGTAAACTACATAACCTTGGGACGGCCAGGGTCAAAGCAAAAATAAATCATATCAAGGATAACATGCTACTCAATCTGGATTTGTCATTTCTAGCTAATTCCAGGTATGAACTGCTCATTTGGGGTTTTCTCTGACCCCCTGGTTCCAACCTCAGTAATGACAGCATTTCAGTACATGGTACCAGGCTCTGTGCTTTCCCAAATTGCATGTGCCTAAATTAACAGGTCCATCAAAAGGAGAGTAGAGAATTTCATGCTTAATTTCTATATTCATCCTTAATCTGGATCATTATTTAAAGGCTAGCATTTTATTACTCGTTTCCACCTATCACTTGGGAAATTTAAAAACATCCAACACATGGGTCTATAAACCAAATTTGATCATCTAGATTCCAAAATGTTCATGACAGGGTCACAAAGAGGATTTTCTGACACTTACAAAATAAGATTTAAAAATGCATTTATGAACACCTTCCCAGGGATCCACCTATTTTGCAAAGTGAGATAAGCTATATACAGATGTTGGGCATGTAAAGTATTCCTTTGGATGGATGAGAGTTGTAACCTTGATATGTTAAAAGACTGTGCACTCTCCATCACTCTTTGGAAGTAGAAAGCCTTATTTTGAAAATTGAGTGTACACACTCATTCTTCTCTGCTTTCCAACTCAATTCCTCTTCGTTTCCCACTGATTTCTCTATTTCTGGCCCTTTTCTGCTATTTTCCCATATTATCTGTAATATACGGTCCGTACGATCTAAAGTTCCCTCCTCCCCAGTGGGAAGTGGTGGGATTCAAGCATCCATCTTGTGGGATCGTATAAGGTGAATCATGTTGGAGAGATACTCTGGCTAATTCTGCTGCAGAGGCAGGCTTCATCAAATCAGTGGAGGGCTGCTGCCCATTGTGTTTCCTGCCCACTGTGGGGTCTTGGAGCTCACACCATTGATCGTTTCCCAGACAAGCTGCATGCAGAGGTGGACAACAGAAGTTTGCATGGGATCTCCAGCTGGGCCCTTAATGTGCTAAATCTCACAGAGAGCTCTTAAGGGGGCGCCTAACAACAAAAGGTCAAATGTGTTTCATTTTGATGTTTGGGGCTGGAACAAGAAAACCAGAGCCAGAAAAAGCAAAGGACAATCTCCTCTTTTAAGTATTCCTTGCCTCCCTCTCTTGGTCTCAAAAAATCCTCTTCTTGACTTGCTGACGACTAAATCCCATAGTCCCAGAACTCATCTCCTTCTGGAGTGACATCTAATGATGAATGGAAAGCTACTCTCTTCTCCCCCACCACACACACTCAGTATTGCCAAGTAATGAAAAAAAAAAAATCCTTTGAGCTGGAAAAAATTAAATAAAAACTCCAGGTCTCAGCTCTGGGTTAGAAGTCAGGTGCTGGGCTTCTTCTCTATCCCAGGACACCACAATCACCCCTGGGTCTTCATCCTAGGAGGATGGCCCAGCCACCTGAGTAGGGGCCTCCGTGCTGAAGCATAACATGCCCTGGGGCGGTCAGATGGGTGGCC